TCCTGTTAAATTTATGGCATGTAGGAAAGGAATCCAACAGGACATTGTTTGCATACCCACAGGGTTTCCTAAACTTGGGTCTCCAGCTGTTGTTGGACTACAACTCACACCATCCTTAGCTAGCCAGACCAATGGTCAGGGATGATGGGAACTGTAGACCCAAAACAGCTGGAGACACAAGTTTAGGAAACCCTGCTACAGTATGTGGCAGTTCCCAAATGATTACATAATATAAACTTAAGAAGCACTATCTATGTGGCTTTTCTTTCTCCTTCCCTGCAACTTTATATGTATTGAGATTGAAAGAAAATGGATATGTCAGAATAAAAGAGGTGGGATCTAAATTTTGGGTTTTACCTACTGGGACATTTGCATGATCTGAGAGAGAATGTTCTGTTGAGTGATATTGCTCTCAGATGTATTAGGTCATAGAGCTGGGAGAGGGTAAAATCACATTCTATCACATTCTATAACACGCTACTTCTTCCCCATAGCTGATCATTTAGACTAATAACAACTAGTTAATCCTCAGTGGGGCACCTTAGATCAGTTTTATGGGATATGAAAATAGTTTCTCATCGGTAAACATGGATGTAGGTGAGGTCAAGCACTCCAGAAAAACAAAGCAAAACAGGAGGCCAGGTATTATTGACCCTTGCCTGTACAATTGCCCTAGATTTTCCTGTATAACAAAATCAATGCTAAGGAGCTCCAAGCAGGAGCCTTTTGTATTAAATTTAATGAAGTGAATGTCCCCAAGGCCCTTTCATAGGAGGTTATCTCTGTCAACCTGGTAAAGTACCCTGCTGTCTCAATGCCTTAAATTTAAAAGTGAATTATGCAGCAGGCACATTAAGGCTTCAGCCTTCATGCAGACTAATGAATATGCTTATAAAGCTATATTAGAGCTATGCATGTAAAAATAACTCTACAGAAATAGTCAAGCCAATGAGACCACCTACTAGAACACATCTGTTCTGTGCTGACATAACTTGCACTACTCAGAAACAGGAAATGCTTTAAAATAAGATGAGAGGAGCTTATGTATCCATCACGGTTCATTTTCATCAGAGCTCTTTCCTTTGGGTGAAACAGGTCATTCTGTGGTCTGTTGAAGCAGTTTTCTCAGTGAATCAATCAATTTATGTGAAAGCACTGAAACCTCATATAATGGCCACAGGATGATATGAAGCCCTTAATTAGTTTCCCCCCGATCAAATTGCTGCCAAAAGCACTTGGACTTCCACTTCAGGGGAAAAATAAGTAAGATAAGCTGAGAATTTCCCAGCTGATATGACTGACGCTCCTGCTGAAGCCCTGGCCAACTGCTGGAACATTTGGATGGCTCAGGCCATTGATATGATCGCTGCTAAGCACCCTCTCCTGCTTCATGGAGCCCACTTGGCTCCCTGATATACTCCAGAGCTTAGACAAGGAAACAAGCTAGAAGATGGCTTAAATGTGAGTGGAGGAAAACTCTAGTCAAATGCAACAAAACACTGGTGAGGGCTCATCATTGGGCCTACCTAGTGGCAGTGAAGGCACCAAGGAAGATATTCTCCATTGCATTGTCATTGTGCCAACCGAGTTGTAAATTTTTTTACTCTGTCTCTGCTGCTTTTATGTCATTTTTACTGACATATTTTTAATTATTTTATTTTAATATATTGCATTTTGCACACTGCCTAGGCAATTATATTGATGGGCAGCCAAATATAATCTAATAATAATGATAATAAAAAGACATCTTTTAATTGCAAAATGTTTTGCTACCCCTTCCAGACATTCCTCCCTTTATCTCTTTTGATTCTCTTCTGAAACAGCCTGCTTCTCCTTGGTGCACGGTGGGACCAGCCCTGATTGAATCACTTTACGGTGATGGCCGTTCACAGACCAATTAAATTTGTTTCAATGACTTTCACGGGACTAAGATGGCTTATATCAAAGCAGTCTGATTTAAATTATTTATCCACTATTTTTTTGTGTGTGGTTGGTTCTGTGGAGCCAATATGGCACAGTACCATTGCAAAGAAATAAAAATAAATACATGCACATATTTACAGAACCAGGATCCCATGGATTTAGCATTTAATAGTTTTCATAGTGAAGGTTTGGATCTTCTGAAAATATTAGCAGTCTATCTACCTGTATGGAATACAATAAGGGTGGAAGCCTCACATACACAGATCAGAGGTAGTCAGACGTTCTGATGCAGTGATGGCCAGAGTGACTGCACTGGGCAGAGCCATAGATGTATTGTATTTGATTAGCGAGTGCGACAAGTCCATCCTGCTATTTTTCTTTCCGGTTACAATCCTATAATAAATGTCTATTTTTCTAAACCTTGGATAAGTAAGTTTACACTAACACATTTGACTTTGCAGTGGTCAAAATGCCACTATACCATATTTGGTCAAAATGGCTGTTTTCAGTGTAGCGTTAGTATTGAACTACTACAGTGGTGTGGTGACCTGAACAGCTAATTATGCAGTTACATACCATGGTGCGTCACAACTCTGCAAGGAAATGGCATTTATTGCCAATGCCACATCATAAATGCCCTTCACCCCAGTTCTGCACAGAGGCTCATCACATATTCAAGGCTGTGGTTCTCAAGCCACCTACTCTAAACTTACTTCATTGAATTATATTGCATTTTTCTAGAATGTGTAGTTTAGCACAGCAGCCCATGGGGCTTAAACAAGATTAAAAAGATAGTGTGAGAGTACTAGATTTGGTCTTCTCTTCTGAACTCATCATCAGCCTCCAACGATAGTCTGCAGTTATTGATTATAGTGTGCTACCATTTTCTGCCTGGACCACAAAGCTTGTGAGCATTTTAAAAGGCAGACCTATAGTTATAGCAATTCACAAATTCAGGGTCAGCAAAGATTATCATCATTCTTAGGAGCAGAACAAGACTGCCTGGTACCCAAGGATTTTGTTGCTAAAGCAGCAAATGCCTCTGTCATCACTGGATTCAGGTGTGGCCTTTGATGTCCTACAAATGTATCACGATATGCAAATGGAGTATCATTGTGTTTCAAATTATATACACCAACAAACACCGATATATGTCAAATAACAAAGAGGCAAATGAAAGGGTAACACAATTCCAAGAGGATGTTACAGACAGAACATTGAGTCACATATTGCTGACAGTGGCGACCTGCTTTCTTATTTTAGGCCTCCTTTGCATGTGACATTTTTCTTTTAGCATTGTATAGAGTAGGCTGGATCAAAGACAAAGTGGGAGATTGTAGGAAGTACATCATAGAGAGGCTACTATACATCACAGACTACCCAGCTTTTAAAGAAAGGAATACCCACCCTTGTCCACTAGTGGGAGGAAACCCATGTATGCTGCCTTGAGCTTCTTGTTGGTGGGGGTGAGCACAGGATACAAATAAGATTTCCCCTTTTTTCATTTTGCAAAGGCCAAATATTGTGTGGTTTTGACAAAGTCTGGGGACGAGTCTCTGTTCTGCACAGATTCTGGTACATCGGAGTGACACAGAGAGAGAGATGTCGAAAGCGGCAGTCTCCAGAGAAAATGAAAGAGTGCGAGTTAGAGGCCTGTGTAAGGCTGAAAAACAAGTTTAGCAAATAGACTTCCATCCTTTCCTAAAGGAGGAAAAGACGAAGAAGAAAAGAAAGAGGGAAGAAAGAGAAAACACTTGGAATCTGTGTGTCCTCAGGAATCGAAAACATCGATGATGTCTGCGTATCAGAAATGCACAGACACAACAACAACGGCAATAATGGCAATTGCGATAATAATAATAGTAGGAAGGAAATCAAGTTGATGAGGCTGCAACGTAGTCCTTGGGTGGAACCTGCTGACGGATTAAAGGCAAAACCAGCCCCCGGCCAGGAGCGAGGTGGTGGGAGGAGTTCCCATGGCAATGGGAGAGGTGGCGCTTCTCCTTCTCCTGATGCATCACGGAGACCGTTCGCCACGTTCCCACAAGCAGCGCCGGGCGGGGGTCCTCCGAGGAGTCCCTACGCACGGCGGAAGCGCCTCGCCAATACAGCCACCGGCTCCTCGGCCTCCCGCCCCCCCACTCCCAGCCTCCGCAACGCTACGAGGACGGCGGCTGCCTGCACTGCAAAGCCGCAGCCCTGTGCAGCACCATTCCCCCATCGACAGCTCCCGGGAAGCGGGCGGGGGCCGGCACGGGGGCGAGGCGGGGAAAGCGGAGGGGCACCGGCCAACCAAGCCTGGAAAGTGCCCGGCGCGGTCTGCCTCCTGCCGCTCTCCAGATCGGGCTCGGGCTCTGATTGGTCTTGCCCTGCTGTCAGTCAGACTATCAAGCCGGCTGGCTTAGATGGGTGGGTTAGGCTGAGGGATTTGCTCTTGAGCCTGGGCAGGAGCGGCGTAAAGTGGGTTCTCAGAGTGAGAGAGGGAGAGGGTGGGTCGGCCGGCGGCTGGCTGGCTGGGGAGATAGCAAGGCAGACAGAGAGCAGCTGTCCGGGACATTGAATGAAAGGGAGAAGACATGCACTCATCGGATGGGAATTTGCAGCCCTGCAAGGCGGCGCGGAGAGCCGAGGCGCTCGTTTGCTTTCCTAAACAGTGAGTAGCGTTGCCAGGAGGGAGAGAAGGAGGGAGGGGGGGTGTGTGAGTATCAATCCATGGCATCTGCACACGCACCCCATCAAATTCCAGCTACTGCCTTTTGCAGATGTGGCTGCAGCCAAAGTTTTAATTGGGGGTGGGGGGGTGGGTAGTGGTGCTAGTGGTAATGGTGGTGGTTCCACTCCTGCTGCTACCCAATGCAGCGAGTTCGGATGGAGGCATCTTCTCCCCGGCTCCTCCCCATGGCCTGTCTGGCTCCCTGCATCTCACAGGTGAAATGAACTTCAGTCTTCAGTGGTGATCAAGCCTGTCTGGTCCTCTTCTCTCCTCTCCCCCCCCCCCTTCCCCATCTCTTTCCCCCTGTTTTTCATCCATAAATGCTTTCAAGAAGCAGAAGGGCAAGCCCGACCTCTCACCCAGCATGAAGAGGTGCAAATCGGATGAGCTGCATCAATCAGACGAAGACTCTGCTGGGGCTGAAGATGCCCCTGTCCTGTCCACCATGGATGCCAAGGCTGGGGATTCAGCTGCCGCCCTGTCAGATTTGGCTGCCTCCAATCCTAACCCTCCGCCCCATCCTGTTACCCGGAGTAAACCTCCTGATTTAAAGGTAAGCTTTGGTAGGTCTATTTCCCTTTTGAAAGAAAAAGAAAAGAAGGCATATTTTCATTTGTTTTGTTTTATTGCTGCTTGGAACGCACATTTCAGTTTCCAACTCATAGGCGTTTAAATTATTGACAGCTGCAAAAATATTACAGGTGCCGCATTTATGAGCTGTCTTTTTGAAGGCATGTCAGTCAACCCAATGTTTACCAAATGGTAACACTAGCCAACTTGCCTGGCAAGTTCCTGGTGTGAGAATTCCTTACACTCATATAAATAATATTGGTCCATCTTTAAGTCATCTTTCCATGTTCCTGTTATACAGATAATTTTTTGTAATGCATCCCAGCACTGGTGCAGACAGTGTTGATTCAATCAGATTCAATGATTTTTTTGAACACCTGTGTTGCACAATCATTTTTATTATAAATGCATTTGGACTCCAGGCCTAGAAGTGAGTCCTGTCAAATTCAGTTGGACTTAATCTTTGGTTGACATATTGTGCTCTTAATAGTATCTAGTTTCAGATTTTGCCCAGTGGCTGTTCCATAAGAACTATGACTTACTCTCTGTGTGTGTCAATTTATGCCCAGTTGTATGCCGGTGGCATAATGCTGTGAGGTGTCTTAACAGCCAATAGCATAACAGGGACATTTCACATGTTTATTTCTTTGCCAAAATGGTTCAGGCATGCAGCTTCGTCTCAGGCTTGCTAGAAGCCAAGTGTGAATGTCAGGAAAGTGTTCATCCTGTTATAATGGCTGTATCTTGTTCTTTGGTTTCTCCCAAACCTTTACTATTGTACGTGGTCACAGGTAGGAGGCTGGATCTTAATGGGCCATTGGGGTGAACCAACACGTATATATATCCATTGCATGATACAGTTCAAAGCTTTCTTTTCCCTTACAATGTAGCCATGTAAATCTTTATGTGGTTGCAAAATGCGTCTGAAGAAATCTTTATCAGTGATAAAATAGAACTTTTATACACAGCTATGACACAGACACATTATGCAAAACAGCTCTTCTGAGCAGTACTATGCGTTAAGGGTTGTGTGATGAGTATAATCTGTATGAATGGTTTATTGGCTTGCGGTTCAGGAATTTCCCAGCATTCACAGCTGCCTCCTCGTGTGTGTGCTGTTGAGTCACTTTGCTTCTGTAAAAATAGAGTGATATTTATTAACCTATTTGGTAAAGCAGTTTTAAGTGTATAGACAAAGAGTGCAAAAGGTTACACTCAAATGGAAGTTCTAATACTATGTTTTTGTAGACTTCTACATAGTGATTTAGTCACCTTTGGAAAGCGAGACTCCCTTCCAGATGACCAAGCAGGAAAAATACATTTATACAGTGGAAGGAAATTGTTCCTGTTGCTTTTTGATTTGGTCACTATTATGTCACAATGTTAGGCAACCTTCACCAGCCAGGTAACCTGCAAGTATTTTGGACTACCTATGTTGACGTGTTTATGAGAGTTGTAGTCCAAAACATCTGGATGGCATCAGTGAAGGCTTGTAATATCTGTGGACTTTTTTCTAAAATTGCATGGCAGCAAGCTCCTTTTCGCTTGACCTCAACAGGAGATCCTTGCTGCTGTTCTAATAGAAATAATTCTGCAGAGGCAGCTTGGAAGGCAATAGGAAGAACTGCTTATTTATTTAGTGATCAAATGTTTAATAGAAAAAGTAGTCTTCAAGTTGTTCACTTAAAATATAACTTTCAAAAATCAACAGAAATGCATATAAATATACAACAATTGAATAGAACCTTTAAGTAGCTGACTAAACTATATCTCATAGGTAAAACTAAACTGTGCATAAAAAGTAGAAAGTTGCAAAATTAGGTAACAAAGTCCAGGAAAGTTTGGGTAAACATATTTGTATTTAAAAAACATTTAAAACTAGCTACTGCTGCCTCTGGAGAAAGTGTGAGTGCGACCACTCTTCCATATTGTCACCAGGTGACAATTTGCTGGTTGTAGGTCTGCACCAGGGAAAACAGTTCGCTAAGCCCACTGATCCCAAATCATTTAGGGATTAAAATGTCAACAGCAAAATCATGAACCTGGCTTGGTAGCTAATAGCCAGCCAGCGCAGACCTTGCATCGCTGTTGTAACATGTGCAGAGGTGAATTCCCCCTTGAGCATTCTAGCAGCTACATTTTGCACTAGCTGCAGCTTCCAAATTGGATGCAGGGGTAGAACACCTGCTTTGAGTGCAGAAAGCCCCTGGTTCAGTTCCTTGCAACTGCAGTTAAAAGGATCATGCAGCAGGTAATGGGAAAGGCCTCTCTCCCTGACACCCTAGAGAGCCACTGCCAGCCAGAGCTGTGGACAGGAGGGGCAAATAGATTGACCTGCATAATGTCAGCCATGCTTAATATACAACCACACTTACCATAGTTTGCGTCAGTGTAATTCGCCTTGTGTTAGGCTGATCAGTAGAGGCCTCTCTTACTATTCAGGCTGCAGCAACTGAAGCAATTTGGCTACAGTGGGCCTTTGTTGAGCACGCTGAAGCAGGACTTAGTGCCCTGAACATAACCTGTTGAATACACAGTAGTAACCCATTGCAGCAGCCACTAAGGAGATCAGCAAGGAATGTTCATCTCCTCTGATAGGATTAAACACATTTACAGTCAGAAAATGGCCCCTGCTCACTTCCCTGGGATGCTTTTTCTTTGGCTGTACTAAGACCAGAGAGCAAGAGCATCCACAGGTGATGGAATATATAGATTAGAGTGCGCTGCTGTAGAGGAGCTATTTAGTAAGTTCCACTGCAGACCTTTTATCGCTTCTTGGAATGGGAGAGGCACAAATGGCATTTTAGGGAGTATCAGGAAATTTCAAATAGTGGTGTGCTAGACATAATGTACTAGGAATAGCAGTGGCATCAAAGAAAAACAAAAGGAACAATTTCCTTCCAATTCCAGTATTTAACTGGAACACGGAACAAACTATGACCAGAAGGGAAATGGAATGCTAATTATTTATTATCCCTTTATTATCCAAAATGGGTGTGTTTTTTCAGAAACCCATTATATGCTAATGCATGAAAAAATGTTCTCCTCCATTGATAACATAATGGTCAGTAATAACAATTAGCACGTAGCAATAATTGCACTTAGTATGTGTGGTGTTTGCCTTTTCCTTTCTTTTTTTTGCCATGCGTTGCAAAAATGAAGAAGCATCTGGGTTCTCCATTTTATAGTATGAAACAATAATGTAGTGAAGCAGGAAACACAGATGGCTGTAACTCATTGTCTTCAGAAGAACTGTGTTAGTTTACACAAGCTAAAAAGTAGAGCTGCATTACCAAAAGCGCAGCCGTTCACAACCCAGGCCCAATTTTTAACATCAGGGTAGCCAATCTATTAATGACTGAATATTGATTATATTTGATTTTGCAATTTTTCATAATTTCATGGTTTGAATGCCTGATGGAACTAAAAAGGGATGCTGTTTGCATTTTTATTGCATTTTTATTTCAAGCAAACATAAAACAATAAACAAGCAATATATTTTACAATACAGAGCAGAGTAAAAAAATCAAAGACATATGTAAATATAATAGTAATAAATAATAAACTTTTATTTGTATCCCGCCCTCCCTGGCTGAGACTGGGGTTATATGTCATAACCACATACTTGAATACACTGGAAGAATGGGTTGGTTATATTCTGTTTTGTTTGTATAAGAGATAGAACCATACTGTATTGTGAAAAAATGCACCATGTGTGCTTTGTCCTCTGGCTACCTTAAATTTGTGTTACTCCTCACCCCCCAATAGGGTTAAGTGTCATACTTTACTATACAAAAATGAAAGATTGCATAAATTAAAAGTTTTCCAAAATGTAATACTGGTAGCAGAGGACCTACCAAGAATTGTGTGATGAGTTTCTGATTTGTAATATCTAAAAACATTTTAGAAAGGTAGCTATGGAGATAATGGGACCAGCTGATCAGTAATGAGAACAATTTCAGCAAAACCTGTCACCCCCCAAATTGCCCCCAAATTTGGGGCAGTTCCACCACAGGTGTTGATAGGAGCCTATAATTCCACACCCCTTCTAACATAGAGGGGACAAATCTCGCACACAAAAGAGAACTGTCTTGACATTTTGAAACTCTGTCTTTGATATCAAGCAAGTACCTTCACTGTATTTTCTTTGGTATTTTCTTTGGCCTGCTGAAAACATTCTTGTTTAGACAACCCTACCCAGATGCTCACAAAGTTGCAAATTTTAATCTGTTTTATGATTTTAACTATTTGCATGTTTTAAAGTATTGTTCAAAAGTTTTTTTGTTTTGTTTTATCTTTTTGTATACTTTGTTGAGGTTCTGGTTTACAGTCAATTTTATGAAATAAATAAATTAAGTACAGTACCAGCCATGGACCAACTTCAAATACAGCTTCCTAATTTGCACAGATAAGGACTTTAAGGTACCGGTAGCTTTGGACTAGTTTTTCCTCCAAATTTCATCATTGGTTACCATATCCTAATTCTGCTCTCACCAAGTTTATTGAGCCAGATTGCACTTAAATGAAGCCAGGAGCGTACTTTGGTATTTCAGTTTTCAGTGGCGCCCTGTGTGAGGCCAAATTTCAGTGCTCCCCCCACCCCTCACCTTCTGTTTTGCTCAGTTCACTGCGTCAGAGTTGCAACCCCGTGCAGTGCGCCATAGGCTTGGCAGTGGAACTAGTAGTGCTGCCCTAAAACCTCCTGAGGAAGCTTCAAGCAAGATTTTGTATATAGCTGAAATGAATCCTTGAACCAAACCAAACATAGACGTTATAAAGCAGCCAGTTATCACCTGTAGTCTCCTTTCTATAGCTCCGAGAGCAGACAAATACAAAATGCCTTTTTAACGCTTTATTCTCTCTTATGTTAATACAACTCTTATAATTGATACTTCACTAAGTATTAAGCACAGAACTTCTTCCAATAATCTAACACCTCGAGCGAGTAGTTGGTATACTATCCCAGCACAGCATCAATCCTAG